CTCATATACTAGACACGTCTCGATGTCACCAATAAAACCAGTATTCATAATGTTAGGTGTCCCACGTCAGTCGCCTTATATGATCGTGCGATTAAGTACAAGAAATTTATTCCGTTTTCCCGATGCCGCGTGTGATAAATGAATCGAAAGTGATGCTTTAAAAATAACCAAAACACCTAATAATTTACCATACAGCGACATTTTTTGGTTTTGTTAGATTACATAGCGTCGTTTTGCCACCCTGACAATGACAGATGATTTAAATTATCGGATGCCAACTGTCAAAATTGTATCGGAATACAATGTCACTCGAAAAAAGAGACGAACACCCATGTCAATCATTGTGTCTGTTTTACCAAATTGTTTTGAATAATTGCATATTCAATTCACTGGGTTTGTCACGTGAAAGTATTTGTTGCATAGAAATGAACCCAAAATTTTAATCAAGTTAGCTGTCAAAAACACGTGTTCCGGAAAGCATGCCACGAACTTACTTCCGGTTTAAGGGACCTTTGTTCTAAAGGTAGTTGTTACATGTACGCGATCACCTCATCTTAACTTGATTATTTTACAGAAGTAGCAATTTGTAGAATAAAATGGTTTTAAACATTTGTACAAACCCAGAGAAACCTTATTGGCTTCTGCCTCGGTATATCTTTCGTGTTTTGACGCAATTTCAACTGCAGATTTGAACTGTTGCCAGCCCAGAGACAGACTAGGGAGAAATGGTTACAGTGGGCTAGCTTGTTACAGTAATTATTTCCTTAGGTTAGAACATCGAGACTCCAAAACATTTTCTGGTTTTTGTAGAAAGAACACGTGTTTTTAGATTCCAGACCTGTTTCTCAATCCTACTTGGCTCCAGCTTGAAGAATAGCTTTGTAGAACTTTCCTCTGTGATAAACGATGAACGATAGACACGGTAACATACCTGTACCAGTAATGAGTTCACAATTATCCGCCATTTTGTTAAATTGTCAAAACCTATTACCGAAATCTTGGTATATGTAACTTCTTGTGTAAAATATACACATTGGGTAATGAGAGATGGTAAGGGGTGGATGTTATTAAGTTAGACATTTTTCCACGTGCTGTTTTTTAATCTCCTGTCTTTCCTGTTGTGTAAGACTTTGTAGAGGTACTTTAAACGACTAGGATTTCGCGCAGTGTTATTTTCGCTGTCTTGTCAATGAGATAACTTGTTTGCGCTGTACTGAATTTGCGATGCAGGCGTAACATATAGCTCATTTCGCGCCTGTGTAAATTTTGCATTCCTCTTGCCGCAAAAATAGACTGTCACGAAAACAATTACACCGTATACAGAATATGCTGAAGATTATCAACTCGATAAATACCGTGTTTTCGAAAATAAAATCGTGATTTTGTTCATTCTTTTTATAAATTCGCAAATTCAGGAAATAATATACACGGCAACAAATACTTTAAGAGTATATGAATCAACATTCGAAAGATTCGTATTCGCGATCATGTCTTCTAAAACGAGCATTATAAGTAGTATAATAAAAATGTTGATGAGAAAACAGATCTGTAGTACAACTCACCGTAATTTACAGTATCAAGTCGTTTCAGAAAGTTTCTTTCGTACAGCTTTCGGAAATCGCTACAAAATGCGTTTATTTACGGATATTTCTTATGCTATGTTATTCCTTTCAATAAGAGCTTTATCCAAAGAAGAATGTTATATAATTCATGAATGATCATTTTATTATTCAAACAATTTACACATCAAAAAAGCTCTACCTTCTAAGACTATTGTTTGTATTTTTTATAATAAATGTATTTTTCTTCCCATGAAGTTATCACATTGTCTGATAACCATTTACCTACTTCCTACACATCTTTATTTTATCATTACTTATAAATTCCCCATCATACCCTCGCCGCAGTCTCACTCACAGACACCCTTCTACCTTTTCCCGCTATACATCGAACGCACTTTTTCGTATGTTTATAAAAATCGTCTCAAATCTAGCTCTACCTTGCAAAATCTCGCTAAAACAACGCTTCCTTATTTTGCTATTTTTTTGTACAGTTTAATCTGGACTTTATCTAAACCACATCACCATGTTGATGTTGTGGACTTGTTTTTACACAGATTATGTACTTATAACCTAGGATGAATGTGTTATCTTATCTCCAACTATGTGTGCTCCGTCGTCATTGTCATAATCATCGTAATTATCATCTCATCCAAGTGTCACACTCGTCACCACTGCATACTAACCACAACGTGGTCAAACTCTTTCATGCGAGCATTTTGTTCTGTTTTGTTGTGTATGTCTGCAGGGGCCTGTTTGTTTATGCGGAACAACCAGTTTGACCCTCTTTAAATGTAACATTTTTGGGTATAAATCCTGGCGGACCTACAAATGTTGATGCAGGCATTGCAAGGCTTTGTCAAGGCTCGTCTGAAAACAGCATCAGATTTCTAGATCCGACCTTATTTAATAAACGAACAGATGTGATCCAACCGGTTCAGCCGGTTAAACGAAAACGGCACAGGTCTCAACCACAGATCATGATTCCAGTTCGTTGTACCTGAATGTAGTGCTTTTCTAAATGTTTTGCTATTATAACCAAAGAGTTTTAAATTCTCTTATAAGATTGAAACATACCGAAATGAAGCATGTTCCTTTCCATGTTAATCAAGGTGATTAATTAGCTGGTGCAATTTTTTTATTTTAGCAAAAAGACATGGTGTGTTATTAAGCTCATGAATATGAATTTCAGGGCAAGAACATAGAGCTAAATAAGTTATGGTCTGAGGTACACTCTGTTGACTTACTGTAGATGTTTATTTGTATGAGCATTCCGCTTGTTATTGGTCCGTGTTTCTAGCGGTTCTTATATAGTACCACACGGTACCGAAATAATATTACAGCTCAGAACACGGGCTGCCATAATATGCCACAAACAGTTTGCTTGGTCGGGGTTTCCGTCATTGCAATACTGGTACCTATGACGACGGTTGTCACGAGAGATGTCACGGACTTTACAATTAGGATAGCAGTAGGGACGAGAAAAAGAACAAACTAGAAAATAGAGTAAAGTACATTTAAAAGGTGTAACAGGTCAATTTTAGTTTAGTCTTTGTCACTGAACAGGTCTCAGATTTATCATGTGGCAGATACAGCAAGCCTGTGATTTATCACCCTGTCGGGTTGTTTCACCTCTAAGTGGATTGTAATGCCAAGATAGGACAATTGTTAACTATATTTAGTTTTATGTTGGCATCTAGCTGAATGCACTTGGTCTACATCGATACATTGTAAATAGTCTGTTTTGGGAGTTCCATCTCAAAGCATTATATCAAGGTTGTGGAGTACGTGCTCGAATCAAATCAACATTGAAGAGCCCCAGGTCCAGCCATGGTCGTTAACAGTATGACATGAGCTCACCCATGCAGATCACGGACTTAAATTAACGGACGCATTCATTTAAACTGAGGAGTCACCACTTAGCATTGCTTCATTATATATCATACCTTTATTTGGTTTATAACGTTCAAAGCAGTGTGAATTCAAAAACAGGGATGCTCCGATTAGTTAGGTTCGTCAATTATCGGTTACTGCGGCCTTCATACTGAAAAATCAAGTTTTGTCGATTATCGTTTAGTTTGGCCTACTAACTCATTATTCAAGTACCTCGATTATCATTTTTGTTTATTTTAGGCCCACTAATTGATTCATCTAGTCCACCCATTATCGTTTAGTTGGGTGTAACAACTGGCTAATCAAGTACACATTTCCATGATCGATATTTGTCAGAAAAGCAGTACGCAGTAAGTGATACTCCACTTGGAGGACTGTACGTGTACAGAAGAAGAAGAACAAGAACAAGAAGAAGAAGAAGAAGAACAAGAAGAAGAAGAAGAAGAAGAAGAAGAAGAAGAAGAAGAAGAAGAAGAAGAAGAAGGAGAAAAGTGTATTGTGTAGAAGAGTGTATCTCCAAACCCATCTCCATATCAATACTTAAACAGCTGGTGCAGTAAGAAAAGGCGAGGATCAATTAGAACATATAGTTATGTCGATTTGTATCTCCTTCGCTTCTACTTATAACTCATATCTACATATAAATACATTATGTACTTGGTCCGTTGTCAAAAGAGTGATTTTATTTCTTTTAATACAGTTTCATTGTAACGGATTATCGGTTATTTGAGACGAGACGATGGCTACAATGGCAAGCGATTCCCTAACAAAGACACACCACGTGCTACTGTTTGGTTCATGTGACGTTTGATTCTCGACTCCACCTGATATTGACAACAGCTTTGAATTAATCGCTCAAATGACCGTGATTTTAGAGGTGCCATTAATTTACATCAAAAAAGCTTAACTGACGATACGCAAAGAAATACACAACATATCAGCCAAAGCTTCTTATTCGATGACAAATAAAAATGAACAATGTGAATCAATGAATTTGAACAACATGTTTCAATTGTCATGTCCGCATTTATTGTCCTTGCTAACATACATCTGTTTAAAATGTAACCTAATTACCACGACTATTCTTACTGACATACCAATAAAATTATGCATCCATACCTACATGTCAATTGATATCAATGTATATTCATTCTGAAACGATTAATATCATAATGAAATGATCGTACGTCCTTCTTAGGTCGTATAGGGTGTACCAGATGAGCGGGGTGGATGCTGGCTCTTTACTAACAGAAGCTCTGAGTTGTGTGTACCTGTCCCACACAGTGAGAAGACGGCTGCCGCTGAGTAGTTTACGAGGGTGTTGGATAGGTCGGTAATTTGGCCACTCTTAAGTAGGAGAGATAACCACGAATGTGTTGACACTGATTGATGGACAGACACTTCGCCCGCCCCTATTATCCCTCATATCCCTGCCCCTCGCCCCGACCCCTCGTTACGGCCCCTCACCCTGCCCCTCGACCTCAAGGTTTAGGACCACAGTTCATGAGAGCGGAAGTAAATATTGTGACACACACGTTATTCAATGATACTATGATTTTCGTGGTCATGGCACTGTGATTTGACCCTTATTAGTTGGTCTATTTTGACAGTAGTTGTGTGCACACTTGAGATCTATTTCATTGCGATCCGTATAGTAAAGGTTGTTGCCTATTTACTGTATATAGAAATTTACGACATCGGGACATTTGACCACTTTCATTTGACAGTCAAAAATAGTTTCTCTTTGAGTGAAACGGGACACAGAATGGTTGAATTTTTATTCTGAACCAAACTTTTGTGCATTGCATATTGCCATGGAGCATACAATACGTGTATATGCTAAATTTTAAGGGAGGAGCAATTGATTTGGTTTATCACATGTAAAATGTGGCCATAGACGTTATACGTTTGAAGGAGGATTATCAACAAAGGAACTTTACGAATAGTTTTCTGTACGAAATAATTAACTTGAGATGAGTATTTGAATAATTCCACAGGGATTGGATTGAAAGTCCTGTAAGCATCTTCCCGGTAAGTATCGTATTCTGTTGTCTGCTAATAATATCGTCACGTGGAAGTTGCCTCTTGTTCTGTGTTTGGCTCTTGCTGTGATTGGCATGTAGACGACGAACGTTCAAAACTTTTGGATAAAAATAAATATTGCATCATTTTTTGAAATAAGATGAAAAAAGAAATCAGAAAACTTTTAGTTTGCCATTCCTATGACAACCCTATATGAAAAAGTATTTTACTATGTAGTATTAAGAGTTGTGTCGTTAAATTCAGTTAGCATAACATGTAATCAATACACTAAGACCCTAACTGCAATATAATATTTTACCTTTACATCAAAACATGGAAGTATCGAATGTTTGCCAAACATATTTTCATATTATTGATAATAAAATGTATTGTTTAAGATAAAAGTGAACAATAACCTACCTTGCAGTTCTAAGAAAGGTTTATAGTCCGAAATAACTATCTCCTTTTTTAAAAGAGATTTATTGCGTACTTACAGTTTATGACGTCATTTTATTTGTTAGATACAAATGTTGTTATGGTCCTATAACACACATTGCTATTGATGACAAACTTAATAAAGCTAATGTAAGTTTATCAGCAATAGAAATGTGTGTTATAGGACCATAACAATATTTACTAAAATATTCATTATTTATATTTACATTTTGATAGAGTAGTTGTGCATTATTTAGTTATTTCGAACATTTCTTTGAACTTCACAACAATGAAATTGTTGACGTCACAAAAGAGATTGGCAACATTTGCCATCTCAGTGCATTGCAAAGGAAGGATGCAGAGCAAATGTAAATATATTTTCTTGTTGACGTATTTTGTTTTCACAATTGCGTGTCAGTATTTGGTAATCGGTCAATGAAATTCCATTTTTATTAGCTGTCTGCTGTTGTTTTAATTGTATGCTTGATCTGCCTAAATTCTGCAATATTATGAAATTTAGTAAATGTACGGAACCTCGTCCGTAATGTACACAAATTGAAATATATAAAATATTCTAAAATAAAAAAACAATAACAAGACAAGACAATAAGGTAGAAAAAGTAGAGTTTTTTTTGCCCGCACAACAAAATGTCTGGGTCTTTTTCTTGAAGTTTTCTTCTATTTCCTATTGAAATTGCCTCTTACAACATGTGGTCATCCCTTAATCTCCGGTTGTCTATGGCTTTTCCTAGCTATCCTCTTAAGTTGGCTTAAGCATGTTGCCCAAACATCACTGATTCCACTTCTTTAAACAGTAGGGGATTAATTCCTAATCACAACGTTGGCGAACCAGACTAATGGTCAATATCTTACCTGGTCTGTTTTTTCACCTGACCCAACACTAGTCTTCATCTTTTCTACGGCAGAGGACGTAATGATTTATATTGTGTTGCTGTCCAAAATTTAAAAATAAAATCTCGGTGTAAAAAGCACATTCTTAGCACCTACTTGGTTTGCAAAGTAATTGACATAGACGTTTTATACCATTTTCTTTCAAATTATTATGTATAACATCTTGTTACGTACTCCTTTTTGCCAGGTTAAGTGGCGTGATCAATTGTATAGTCTTTGTTTTTATCGATTTTTTTTCTCATCAGTTTAGGGATGTAAGTAGGGAACAATAGAAACGTGCTCTAGTCAAAAGGGTTAAATGATACTGAGGGAACTGTCCTTTTTTAACATTTTGGCAACGTTTCATTGTTTTTGAAGCTGATGAATTTCGATTGATATTCTTCACCTGTATATATTTGTTTTTTTTTTAGGAGAAATGGGCATAAATATATGCTGATTAAAGTATCTCACTATTTGAAATGAGGGCGAAAAGCCCCGAAATAGTCGCAAAAATATCAACAATGAAAAGCAATGGACATCAACACTGTGTTAAGAAATAAAAAGTTTTGCACTAATTTGTCTAATTTCTGTCAACACAAAAGAAAAATTCCCATTTAAACATTGTAATTTACATCATTTTTTTAGGTCCTTGTGCGAGTGTACTGTTTGTGTATGATACTTCACTGTTAGGGACAAAGGTAAAATAATATATACATGTGTGCTTTACTTTATTCTAGAATAACTGAGGGAAAATATATTGTACTATCATAATAACGCATTAACATTTAAAAACCACGAGTGAAAAAATAGGCCAAAATATCGCTCTACCTTTGAAAGAGCAACATAATTATGTAACACAATTTAAACATTCTTATTCAAACAAAAATGGTTTGACCTTAGGGAACCTAAGAATAAGTATTCTTAAGTTTCTTATTCAAGGAAAATGTGATATTTTATTCAATGAATACTTTCACTTGTCTATTTTAATGTATCACTATCACGCTTTTTTTACTATCGTCTTGTAAAATGCAGATATATATAAATAGACATCGTTGATAAATTGTATTAATTTCTACCTAATCTATTGTTCAACATGTGCCAGTAAATATGTTTTAGATAAATAAAACACATTTTACTAAAAAAAAACAAAAAACGGCCACGCAATCAAAGTACCAATATTGTGCTTCGAAAGTAATAGACGACCTAGTTAACGTTCCCTGAAGAGTCAGGTCTGTCCTTCCCTGTAAAGATTTAATTGCGACACAAGTAGTCTCCAAAATGGTCAAACCCTACTACATGTACATGTACAACATTTGAGACATAATAATGATGATATTGGAAGGTGACCAGATTGACCCGACGAAGTCAAGGTTGGTCCCCACGCTAGTCTCATACAAAATGGAACAAATTTTCGTTTCTAATTGTTAAAAGTTCTCATATAAACAAGCATTAATTAACTTTCTTTATGTTGTCGTTGATGGGCCTATTGTTTTAACTCGGTTTCGGGTGTAACTAATTATGCACAAAGTTTCTATGCTTGCGCAGTTTCTCTTTGGGACTTTTCTTCTGATTTCATCAGTTCCACTTGTTTGCAATTATCTTATAACTCACAGGCAAATTCAAATACTAGCGTTGTTTATGTGGGGTTTGATGTCCTCGCAACAGCTAATACTTTATGGAGACGGATGCTTACGGAGACAATCGAAAAAGGCCACTGGGTTGAGAAACGAAACGATAGATCTCAACTGTTATAATGGGGGGCAACGATCAAATGGGAATGTCAAACAGGGAGGGGACAGATACTGCTTGTTCTCTTAAATGTACCCAACACAGAGGACACATAAGACGAGAAAAACTGGAGGAACAGAAGTCACAACTACCTTATGTTATGTTAGTGCAGTGTAATACACATTCGGATGTGTTCAATAGAAGAACTATATTGCTAAATAATGAACCGTCGGGGGTGGGCGTTTTTGTCAAATTTTCTAATAGCTAACAGAGTTTTCTAAAACCACCAACACGCTGTTGTATTACTGTGATTACGATACAGGAACAGAAACTTACTTATAAGATGTTTGAACATCCAACAGATACAAAGTTAACAGTGTTGCTATTGACTCCCACTGACGCAGTGTTGGGATTAACAGCACGTGAAGGATGTGTCTGTAGCTATGTAAATGTCGTAAAGCTCTGTCCTCTACATAAACCACTTCAGTGTATTATTCCTATACAGCAAAACAAAATACTCCGATATACAAATGTCTGGCGATGCTGTGTTAGTGTTGCCGATTTACGTCGTTACTCGGGGGAAATGCCAGAATCTTTTCAAAATGTTTACGGCTGGGGTCAATCAGATCCCCTTCCTTTTAAAAGTATCAATGTATCATTGCTTCAGACGATGGCTAGACTTCAGCACCGACGAAAAAACACCAGATGATTTATACCGACTCCAAAGTAAATCAATCGATTACTGTCTGAAAATTTCAATGATCTACTTGAATGTTCTATCAACATTGTGTACGCGTTCGATACCAAAACGCCTCTGTATAATTTACTTCTTTTTCATAAACGATTGTTGTAAATTATATAAAAAACACTATGCCATTTTATTTTTGCACATGCAACAAATTGAGGTTGCTTTGATCATATATTTTTTAAAACAAAATAACAAAAGCTGTTTTTAAAATACGTTATAACGAACGAACAATTACCTTTTTACCGATGTCGTTATCTCAAACCAAAAATAAACAGTTTCAGTAATTCATAGTTAGAAATGGCTACCATGAATGGTTTTGTATGGGCCATGAGTATTTGACATACATCACCCATCAGTCTGAGCTATCGGTACCACAACCGCAGGTAACACGAAAACGAGATTTTAGCGAGATTTCAGATAAATTATACCCCGATTGAACATATAGCACGCGACAGCTGTCAGTAAGACTTTGATGGAGTGCTGTTCCCCACGGTCACCCGATCCAGCTTTACTTTCTGTTGTATTGTTCCAGTTTCCAACTCCTCTGTATCCACTAACTACTAATGAGACATATATGTGAATAATGATCTCTTATCATGACACGCGCTCATTTTTCACACGTCTACATTCTGTGTATTTTTAGTATATATTTTTACTTGTTATAGACTTTTAATTCAGCAAAGAAAAGACTGAAAATCCATTGATTGACTGAAAGATATATATTTAGGACTACTCTTTAATGAGAAATATGTCGTATTTTCTCATTCGAAACTATTTTAACAAGGACTATATAACAAATTCACTCAACAGTACTGGATAGTAATTTAATGTGAATCTGTTAATTGATTTATGAATTGATTATCTGATTGAATAATAGGTAAACCTGATTGATTGTTCAACTGATTGATTGAATGATGTAACGCTTGACTGATAGTATCTGCTCGACTGATTGAATCATTGAAGAAAGAAACTGACTATTGATTTAATAAGTGATTATTAATTTATTGATTTATAAGTAAATAAATTGATGGATAGCATGTAATTGTGATTTGTGTTAGATTCATATCAATTAAAGCACCGTATTCATATCTAATTACCATCACTACAGGATATGCTATGTTCTGCATAATGTGGAACTGTTTTGTCCTGTTGCGGTTTTACTTCTCTACAGCTTCTAAAGTCATATGACAACGATAAGCGAGAGACA